TGCCCCCCTGGACTTGCTCTGCCAGCCGATTCGGTCCCTCACTGCCTGGTTGCTGCTGACTGCTGTATCCTGCCTGTCTCCTGGTCCTGCTTCATCTTCTGCTCTAGTGCCAAGTTGTTTCTGCATCCCATTAGGGACTGCAACTACCAGCTCTATCCACCTACAGAGTGGACACCACCAGCCAGCTACTCCGGCACTCGTGCCACTCTTTGCCCTCACACTTTCTGTCTCCACCTTCCAGAGTGTTGGGCAGGAGGTGCAAAGAGGGGCCTCCATAATATTTCAGTCTTCTTCACCAGGTACGTGATATATACAAAATCCTGTCCAGGTGTTATAGGGTCCTAGAGCTACTGAACAAATTTTACCCCACAGTCTTCAAGTTGTGTTGGCAATGCCAGAAGGAAGTGGGAACTTTGATACATATTTTTTGGCAATGCCCCTCTGCTGAATCAGTTCTGGATGGGAGTAAGGAACTTTGTCTCACAGATGACCTCAGTGGACTTAGGAACAGATCCATTGGCCTACCTATTACATCTCAACTCTGTGCCAGTACGTCACTATAAACGTTCCCTGATGGTTCACCTATTGAAATGCGGTACGGGCATGCATTCCAGACCTGTGAAAGCAAACCTCTTCCCCCAGCTATGAGTCAAAGTTTTGCGAAGTTAAATGAAATTAGATCTATGGAAAGTCTAACTGCCTCCCTTAACAACAACAGCAACAAAGATGTATTTTCAGGAAACGTGGAGGCCTTGAACGGTGTACACTTGTTCGGCACAATACCTGGACAAAATGCCCACTAACACTGGACCCGTCTGAGCCCTTTTGGAATTGCTTGTTGGGTGTTAATGCGCTTACTTTTGACCTTTTCAGCTGGCTGGTCTCAGGGGAGGTGGAGTAAGAGCGGAGGGGAGATGTGCCTCTGTGCCCTTCAACCCCCTGGATCTGCATACATCCCTGTCTGCATGTTCCCACTACGTCCTGTCTGTCAGGTCCCTTCCCTCCACTTTGGCACGTCCCCTTCCTCACAACCACCTCCCCTCTTCCTGTTCAGGGCCCTTGTGATTTTTTTTTTTCTCTCTTTTTCCTCCCCCCCACCCTGTGCATTATTTTTTACAATATTTTCATGGTCCCAGGGTTTACGGGATCAAATTTGCCTTCTACAATGAGAAGTTTTGATTCAGACTTTGTGTATTTCAAGTTCATTAACCTACATTTCCAGTATGCTTGGCATAATTCCAGTTTCTGATGTAGATAATTTGCATCTAGTCTAATGTTATTGGTTACTGGAACATTACTGACATGATGTGCCCCAATGTGCTAGTAGTGGTTTTTCTTTTGCTCATGCTTTTTCTATAATGGTATGAGGGAACTTATTTGTAAATGTACAATGTCTAAATAAAGAATTACAAAAAAAGAACAAGAGAAAGAATGAGGGAGAGAATGAGACAGAGGATATGAGAAAGAAAGAAGGAGTGAGAGAATGTAAGAGAGAACGAGAGAGAAAGAGGGAGGGGAGAGAGGATGGTGAGAAGGAGGAAGAGCGGGGGAAGGAAAAGAGGGAGAGGAGGGGGGTAAAGAGAGCAAAATGAGGTGGACAGTAGAGAGGGGGAGCTGTTCTTTGCTCAGTGTGGAAGGCTCACTCAAGTTAGAGTGGCATTGACGCTCTTCACGCCGTCCGAGTCAGTCATGGTGTCTGGGGGGGAGAAGATGCTCCTCTGGTGACTGCAAGCACAGACCCCTCCCCCACCCAGTCTACCCTGCCCTCGGTATGCTGGGGCCCCTCAGGACACCTGGGCCTCTTACATGTGTATGGGCTGTCTCCCCCTGATAGCAGCCCTGGGTACAAATTGTGCCTGGAATCCTTATCTCTGAGTCAATTCCCCTAGTAATACTGTCAGGGCTCCCAGGTATGACCAGAGGTGTGTGACTGAAGCAGGGAAACGCAGACCTCAGATATGTTATAAACAATATAATTTATTAACACTAACAGTACAAACATAAACGCAGTGCAATACTAAAAAACATAACACAGTGCAAACAAACCAAACCCAACCACCCACAGATAACAGTATATACAAGCAAGCGTCGTCAGGCAGGCCGGGTCAATATCAATGGGCAGGTAGGTACAGGGGGAGCAAGCAGAGAATGGTCGGGGTCACAGGCCAGGTTCAGCAGGTAGCAAGCAGCGTAGTACAGAGGGTCAGACAGAAGGATGGTCAGGGTCACAAGCCAGGATCAGAGCAGGAGAAGTCAGCAAAGGAGCAGAAAAACAGGATGCAGGACAGATACAGGGCCCAGGACAAAACACAACACCAAGGCAGAGTCTGCAAGTCTGGCCATCCCTTAAATACCCCAGTATCATCAGTTCCAGGTGTTAGCTGGCTGAAAGGTTGAGTCTTTGGTTGCTGGGAGCACCCGCTGGCCAGCCCTGGTACTGCAGATCAAAAGGCAGGTGAGTCCCACCATTGCTGGCCAGTCCATTCCTAACAGTACCCCCCCCCTCAAGGAGCGGCCTCAGGACGCTCCAAACAGTCCTAGCTGGGCAAAATGTTCCACCGCCCGGGTCTGGTAACTGGCGGGATATCAAAGACTGGCACACCGGGCAGGACTCCGGGCAGCGGCACACCGGGCTGGACTCCGGGCAGAGGCACACCGGGCTGGACTCCGGGCAGAGAGCACATCGAGCAGAGGCACACCGGGCAGAGGCACATTGGGCAGAGGCACATCGGGCAGAGGCACATCGGGCAGAGGCACATCGGGCAGAGGCACATCGAGCAGAGGCACACGGGCAGAGGCACACGGGCAGAGGCACACCGGGCAGAGGCACACATCGGGCAGAGGCACATCGGGCAGGACTCCGGGCAGAGGCACATCGGGCAGCACTCCGGGCAGAGGCACATCGGGCAGCACTCCGGGCAGAGGCACATCGGGCAGGACTCCGGGCAGAGGCACATCGGGCAGAGGCACACCGGGCAGGCAGAGGCACACCGGGCAGAGGCACACCAGGCAGAGGCACATCAGGCAGAGGCACATCGGGCAGGACTCCGGGCAGAGGCACAGGACTCGGGCAGGGCAGGACTCCGGGCAGAGGCACACCGGGCAGGACTCCGGGCAGAGGCACATCGGGCAGGACTCCGGGCAGAGAACATCGGGCAGGACTCCGGGCAGCGGCACATCGGTTTACCAGGCGAAGCAGCAGGCAGCGGGCCCCCGGGCGGAAGACAGCAGGCACCGGGCCCCCGGGCGGAGCAGCAGGCACCGGGCCCCCGGGCGGGGCGCGGGCATGCATCGGGCCCCCGGGCGGAGCAGCAGCAGGCACCGGGCCCCCGGGCGGAGCAGCAGCAGGCACCCGGGGCCCCCGGGCGGGGGCGACATGCACCGGGCCCCCGGGCGGAGCAGCAGGCACCGGGCCCTCGGGCGGAGAGCAGCAGGCACACCGGGCCCCCGGGCGGAGCAGCAGCAGGCACCGGGCCCCCGGGCGGAGCAGCAGCAGGGCACCGGGCCCCCGGGCGGAGCAGCAGGGCACCGGGCCCCCGGGCGGGGCGACATGCATCGGGCCCCCGGGCGGGGCGACATGCATCGGGCCCCCGGGCGGAGCAGCAGGCACCGGGCCCCCGGGCGGCGGAGCAGCAGGCACCGGGCCCCCGGGCGGAGCAGCAGGCACCGGGCCCCCGGGCGGAGCAGCAGCAGGCACCGGGCCCCCGGGCGGGGCAGCAGGCACCGGGCCCCCGGGCGGGGCGACAGGCACCGGGCCCCCCCGGGCGGGGCGACAGGCACCGGGCCCCCGGGCGGGCGCGACAGGCACCGGGCCCCCGGGCGGGGCGACAGGCACCGGGCCCCCAGGCGGGGCGACAGGCACCGGGCCCCCAGGCGGGGCGACAGGCACCGGGCCCCCAGGCGGGGCGACAGGCACCGTGCCCCCAGGCGGGGCGACAGGCATCGGGGCGACAGGCATCGTGCCCCCAGGCGGGGCGACAGGCATCGTGCCCCCAGGCGGGGCGACAGGCATCGGGGCGACAGGCATCGTGCCCCCCAGGCGGGGCGACAGGCATCGTGCCCCCAGGCGGGGCGACAGGGATCGGCCCCCAGGCGGGGCGACGGGCATCGTGCCCCCAGGCGGGGCGGCGGGCGCCGGACCCCCAGGCGGAGCGACAGGTCTCGGGCCCTCAGGCGGAGCGGCGGGCGCCGGACCCCCAGATGGAGCGACAGGTCTCGGGCCCTCAGGCGGAGCGGCGGGCGCCGGACCCCCAGGCGGAGCGACAGGTCTCGGGCCCTCAGGCGGAGCGGCGGGCGCCGGACCCCCAGGAGGAGCGACAGGTCTCGGGCCCTCAGGCGGAGCGGCGGGCGCCGGACCCCCAGATGGAGCGACAGGTCTCGGGCCCTCAGGCGGAGCGGCGGGCGCCGGACCCCCAGGTGGAGCGACAGGTCTCGGGCCCTCAGGCGGAGCGGCGGGCGCCGGACCCCCAGGCGGAGCGACAGGTCTCGGACCCCCAGATGGAGCGACAGGTCTCGGGCCCTCAGGCGGAGCGGCGGGCGCCGGAGCCCCAGGCGGAGCGACAGGTCTTGGGCCCTCAGGCGGAGCGGCGGGCGCCGGACCCCCAGGTGGAGCGACAGGTCTCGGACCCTCAGGCGGAGTGGCGGGCGCCGGACCCCCAGGCGGGACCCCCAGGCGACAGGTCTCAGGCCCCCAGGCGGGGCGGCGGGCACCGAGTCACCAGGCACAACCGTGGGCTCCGAGTCAACTGGGATGACCGCTGGCACTGGGTCAGACATTGGATCGTCTGGCTGGACAGCGGTCATCGGGTCACCAGGCATCAGGTCATTTGGCTCGACAGCGGGCACCGCGTCATCTGGCAAGGCAGTGGGCTCCGAGTCAACTGTGTATGACCGCGGGCACTGGGTCAGACATTGGATCGTCTGGCTGGACAGCGGGCACTGGGTCACCAGGCATCAGGTCATTTGGCTTGACAGCGGGCACCGCGTCATCTGGCAAGGCAGTGGGCTCCGAGTCAACAGGCACGACAGTGAGCACCGGGTCATCAGGTACCGGATTGTCTGGCTCGACAGCGGGCACCGCGTCATCTGGCAAGGCAGTGGGCTCCGAGTCAACTGGTATGACCGCGGGCACTGGGTCAGACATTGGATCGTCTGGCTGGACAGCGGGCACTGGGTCACCAGGCATCAGGTCATTTGGCTTGACAGCGGGCACCGCGTCATCTGGCAAGGCAGTGGGCTCCGAGTCAACAGGCACGACCGTGAGCACCGGGTCATCAGGTACCGGATTGTCTGGCTCGACAGCGGGCATCGGGTCACCAGGTATGACAGCGGGCACTGGGTCACCACAGGCATCAGGTCATTTGGCTCGACAGCGGGCACCGGATCAGGTACCGGATCATCTGGATCAACAGCGGGCATCGAGTCAACTGGCCTAATAGGATCGTCAGGCTGGATCAGTTCATCATGCTGGGTAGAGGCATCAGGCCAAGTAGAGGCTTCAGGCCGAGTAGAGGCTTCAGGCCGAGTAGAGGCATCAGGCGAGTAGAGGCATCAGGCCGAGTAGAGGCATCAGGCCGAGTAGAGGCATCAGGCCGAGTAGAGGCATCAGGCCGAGTAGAGGCATCAGGCCGAGTAGAGGCTTCAGGCCGAAGTAGAGGCATCAGGCCGAAGAGAGGCATCAGGCTGCGTACAGGCATCAGGCTGAAGAGAGGCATCAGGCTGCGTACCGGCATCAGGCTGAAGAGAGGCTTCAGGCTGAACCACGGAAGGCAGGCTCACCGGTTTGGATACTGGCAGGATGGTATTGGTTGGAAAGAATTTTCGCTTTTTTCTGGTTTTAACTACTGGAGCACTGCAAGTAAACGCAGGTCTGCAAACGAATGGAGCAGCTGGAGACAGAGAAGAACTGGAGGATGGAACAGGAGAGGGAGCGGTTGCTACAGAGGGCTTTTTTACAGGGTTAAAGGCAGGATAGGTGCAGCGAGTGGGAACAGGGTACTGACATGCGGTAGATAGCAGGGCAGGAGGAGCTGTTGGGAATGCAGGAATAGAGTTTTGAGGAAATAGATTAGAAGCAGGACTGGGTCTTTGTAAGCTGACTGAGGCTGGGTGCAACAAAATCTGTCCATGTCTGCAGTATGGGTTGAACAAAGCTGAGCTTACACAAAGCCTGTCTGGTCAATGACTGCACTGCGTTTATACAGTCTCTTAGTACCTGTGGTGAACATGTGGAATAACGCTCCAGAAAGTAACCCACATCATCCTCTAATAACCACACCAGGGACTCTACCTGGTCTGCACTAAATGGTGGCAAAAATTCATCCCTGCATTCGGGGGAACCAGATGAAACCAATTCAGCACAAACTTCAATCAAAGGCTGCACCTCAGAGAACTCTATGCCCTGATCTACTAGAACATGAGCGAGCCGTATACAATCTAGCAGTTCATCCCGGGGTATACTCCTTCAGAGTCTGATAAGCATACTCCCTGTCATCAAACACTAGCAGATATAAATATTCAACCTCATCCAGATCCATCCTTCCCATCAACAAGCCAAGATGGCTTCCCTGTGCAGCCACTTCTGGTCAGGATTGGCCTTGGTGTAATGTCAGGGCTCCCAGGTATGACCAGAGGTGTGTGACTGAAGCAGGGAAACGCAGACCTCAGATATGTTATAAAACAATATAATTTATTAACACTAACAGTACAAACATAAACGCAGTGCAATACTAAAACATAACACAGTGCAAACAAACCAAACCAACCACCCACAGATAACAGTATATACAAGCAAGCGTCGTCAGGCAGGCCGGGTCAATATCAATGGGCAGGTAGGTACAGGGGGAGCAAGCAGAGAATGGTCGGGGTCACAGGCCAGGTTCAGCAGGTAGCAAGCAGCGTAGTACAGAGGGTCAGACAGAAGGATGGTCAGGGTCACAAGCCAGGATCAGAGCAGGAGAAGTCTCAGCAAAGGAGCAGAAACAGGATGCAGGACAGATACAGGGCCCAGAACAAACACAACACCAAGGCAGAGTCTGCAAGTCTGGCCATCCCTTAAATACCCCAGTATCATCAGTTCCAGGTGTTAGCTGGCTGAAAGGTTGAGTCTTTTGATTGCTGGGAGCACCCGCTGGCCAGAGCCCTGGTACTGCAGATCAAAAGGCAGGTGAGTCCCACCATTGCTGGCCAGTCCATTCCTAACAAATACTTCTGCACTGACCTCTTCATTCTTACAATAACCTGTTAGGAAATGTGTAATGCATGAAGTCATATTCAAGAAGCACAGATTCACAAAATGGATGAAGCAGGGAGATCCTTGTACTTCGAGTTCTCAGGTAGCACTTTCTCTACAGTGAGGAGAACAGTGAGCAGCTGCAAAGAGAGACCTCACTGAATCTCATGATACTTGCAGCCAGGGGGCAGACTGACCATTTGGAAACTCTCGCGCACTGCCTGAGGGCCCGGGGTCAGTAGAGGGCCCCATGAGATGCCCCTGGTACCCTTTTTCATAGGCTTTTTTTTGAGTTTGGGCAAGGGCACGGGCCCCATGATCCCCTATTGCCCAGGGGGGACCCATGAGTTGTCAGTCCCGCCCCAGCTTGCAGCAAGAGGTAGGAGTACTTAACGTGATATTATAGTATTGATGTTACAGCTTTGAGGCACAAGGCACTGAATAACACTTTTTTTCAAAAAGCAAATGGTCTTTTTTTTCAGGGTACTGCTTAGGCATGTGATACAAAACTAGTAACTACCCAACTTATAACTAGCTTTTAGAGCAAGATGCACATGCAAGGGCTTTGCACACAGTAAACAAAACAAAATACCTAGGGGATAAAAATCACTTTTAGATGTTCCTCATGAGATGTATTTTATTTTGAGTTTAAATCAATTAAATCTATTTTAAGGATTAATTGTATTTTTAATTTATATGTTTAAACCTCACCTTGGAAAACAAACTGTTCAGTTTTAAATAGACAAAATGTGTGGGTGATGTGTGTGTGTGTATCTATCTATATATATATATATATATTTATATAATATACTGTTGCAAGAAAAAGTATGTGAACCCCTTGGGATTACGTGGAGTTTTGCATGAATTGGGCATAAAATTGTGCTCTGAACGTCATCTAAGTCACAACAATAGAAGAACACAGTCTGCTGAACATAATACTACACAAACATTAGATGTTGCCATGGTTTAATTGCACATAACATGTCAACATTCATTCACAGTGCCCAAGGAGGAAAAAGTATGTGTGACCTTTGGACTTAATAACTGGTTACCCACCTTTGGCAGCAATAACCTCAACCAAACTTTTCCTGTAGTTGCAGATCAGACCTGCACAATGATCTGGAGTAATTTTGAACCACTCCTCTTCACAAAACTGTTTCAGTGTAGCAATATTCTTGGGATGTGTGGTGTGAATCGCTCCTCTTAAGGTCATGCCACAGCATTTCAATCGGGTTGAGGTCAGGACTCTGACTGGGCCACTCCAGAAGGCGTATTCTGTGCTGGTTGCAGCCATTGTTTTGTTGAATTACTTGTATGCTTTGGGTCATTGTCCTGATGCATCACACCCATCCTCTGCGGAGCTTCAGTTGGCGGACAGATGGTCGTACGCTTTCCTGCAAAATGTCTTGATAAACTCTGGAATTAATTTTTCCATCAATGACAACAATCCGTTCAGGCCCTGAGCAGCAAAGCAGCCCCAAACCATGATGCTCCCTCCTCCATGTTTTACAGTGGGGATGAGGTTTTGATGTTGGTGTGCTGTGCCTTTTTTTTTCTCCACACATAGTATTGTGTGTTCTTCCCAAACCAACTCAATCTTGGTTTCATCTGTCCACAGTATATTTTGCCAGTAGTGCTGTGGAACATCCAGGTGCTCTTTTGCAAACATGCTGCAATATTCTTTTGGGACAGCAATGGCTTCCTCCGTGGTGTCCTCCCTGTACTCCATTCTTGTTTAATGTTTTCCTTATTGTAGATGTGTCAACAAAATTGTTAGCATGTGCCAGAGATTTCTGTAGGTCTTTAGCTGACACTCTGGATTCTTCTTTACCCCATGCAGCATTCAGCGCTGTGCTCTTGCAGTCATTTTTTACAGCACTACCGTGCCTAGGGAGAGTAGCAACAGTGCTAAACTTTCTCCATTTGTAGACAGTCTGTCTTACAGTGGACACTCTGAACATCAAGGCTTTTGGAAATACTTTTGTAACCCCTTTCCAGCTTCATGCAAGTCAACAATTCTTGATCGTCAGGTCTTCTGAGGAGCTCTTTTCTGCGAGGCATGGTTCACACCAGACAGTGCTTCTTGAAACCAGTAAACCCAAAACAGGTGTGTGTTTTTTAAGGGCAGGACAGCTGTCAGCAACACATCCAATATCATCACACTGATTGGAGTCAAGGTTGGCTCACTCCTGGCTCCAATTAGCTCTGGGAGAAGTCATTAAGCTAGGGCCTCACATACTTTTTCCTCCCTGCACTGTGAATGTTTACATGTTTTGTGCAATTAAACCATGGCAACATCTAATGTTTGTGTAGTATTATGTTCAGCAGACTGTGTTCTTCTATTGTTGTGACTTAGATGACGTTCAGAGCACATTTTATGCCCAATTCATGTAAAACTCCATGTAATCCCAAGGGTTCACATACTTTTTCTTGCAACTGTATATATATATACATACAATACAATACATACACAATGCAAGTGACAGTCCCTCTTGTAAGTGACAGCAACATCCATCCGCTCCCACAGAACCTCCCTACCTCTATACTAACTGTCGGAGAGGGAAGGGAAAACAGAAATCTGCGGGCGCAGTGTGTTTAGGTGCGGGGCATCTCGTCCTTCAGCCTAATGCATGGAAGTCAATGCCCCAGGGGTGATCGCTAGCCAGTGGGGAAGAGGAAGAATGGTGAGTGTGTGCGCTTGGTGCACTGACCTGTTGTGTTAAGATAGGGCCCAAAATGGGAGTTACTATAGAGCGGGGCCAGCTGTGTTTTTCAAAGCTAGCAAACCAATATTGAGGGCAGTGGAGGGGGAAGGGGGATGTGGAAAGGTGAGCTGCAGTCAGGTGCTGCAGAGGTAAATTGACAGGTGAAGATGCATACAGGGTGCATAGGTGAGGCTGCGGCTGGGGGGGGGGGTGCAGAGGTGAGCTGAGTTGCAACCCACCTCTGCACCCCCGGCAAACAGCTCAGCTCTGAATCCCCTGGCCACAGCACAGCTCTGCACCCCCTGGCCACAGCTTGCCTCTGCACCCCTATAGGCCTCAGCTTGCCTCTCGCAACCCCCGGACACAGCTCACCTCTGCATACCCTGTGTCCGCACAATCACACCACTGCACCCTGTCTGTGACTCATTTCTGCACCCTGTCTGAAACTCGCCCTGTCAATTCACCTCTGCCGCTCACAAAACTGTCATCAGCCATCCCTCTCTATAGTAACCTTTATCCACAACTGCCTGCAAGCTCACTACTCTGCACCCCCTGTGCCACACCTGTACATTAAAAATATAAGACCTAGTCCGAAAATAAGACCTA